GTTGTGTTTGGGTGGGCCCTCACTTCCAACAAAATAAGAATACTTGTTATTATTAAAAAGAAAAAAAGTCCAGCTGGCAATAAGAATAAACGGAGTTAGAGTTCTGTTAAGTTGGGATTGAAATTGCTCCATTCTAATGAGATGAAGGGTAAAATTGCACCACTTAATATTTTAGGATGCTAAATGTACCTTCAAAAATAATTTAGGGTGTTTAGTACATATTTATCCTATATTTTTTTGTTAAAGTATAAGTATCCTCTTATTGAAGGTAATCCTATACAAGATATTGTCAGGTACTAAATATAGATACCTCTCCCAATAAGGATTCAAATATTAATTCACTACAACATATATACATGTATATATATTGTTTTGCCAAATACTAGTATCCTTTTGCTAGAGGCAAAATATATAAGGACCATTTGGTATGATCGAATTGATTTTGATAGAAATGGAAATAAAAATAGATATAAATATAGAAATGGAAATAGACATGGACATAGGGTTTAAAAATAAGAAAAATTATAAAAAAGACTGCTAAAATAAAAAAATTGCACAAATAAACCTGTTTACAAAAATTGCTGTCAAAATCCATGCTAATGTTATCATGGATTTCTATTCATAATTTTTCTATTTTGATGCTTTTTTTTTACCATTTTTTCTTAAAAATATGTTTGGTGTGGTGATAGAATTAGACGTGACTTTTATTTGAAAAGACTGAAATACCCTTTAATTTAAAAACAAGGAAAATCTCCCCTTTCATCCCCAAACTCCTCCTCCGCTAACCATCACACTGTAGAATAGTAAGCCACGCTTCAACAAATCAAAAACAATGGCCATGCTTCAACAAACCAGAAACAATCTCTACCCAACATTATCAATAATCCATAATCAACAAACCATGAATGATCTACAAAAATCAATGACCATCGAAAGAAAATAAAAAAGCCAGATGCAAAAGCAAGAATGTCTTCTCAGATGCAAAAAAATGCCATCAAGCTTCAGCTAAATGCACTGAAGCAAATGAAGTATAAGGTAGAAGAAATGGCAAAACTAAGGAACCCTTCAATCTGGAGATGAAATCATGGGTTTAGATTGAAGCTGTCGTCGTCCCCAACTTTCAGATCTGGAACTGAAACTCAGGTGGACAAAGGAGAAGCCATTCTCGACCCGTCTCCCTCTCTTCGACTTATCAGATCTCTTCGATAGCTAACATCTTTAACAACCATGATCTGAAGAACAGGTAGTGGCACGATCTATGGGTGGGTGAGAAGATCGCCGGCGTTGGGTTGAGAAGATGCCGGCGGTGGGGTGTGAAGCCTGTGTGTTAAGCATGAAAGGAGGGCAGAAATGAAACGTGCAACATGGAAATGCAAATCTTCGGGTTGTAGGATGGAAGCCAATTCCATCAGTTTGGCTTCCACATGGAAGTCAATTCCCAAGGGGCTATGATGTACCAAACATGCAAGAGGCACGGATTTCATTTCCATTTCCATTTCTGCGCCCTCAATTCCAGTGCACCAGACAGGACCCAAGTGTATATTAGATAGACCTGAAACAAGTATAGGCCTGGCCCAATATTGGTGTGAATCAATTTCAGCCCAATAGATTATTTATGGTCAATGAGGAGATACAATAATCTCTCTGCTTTATTTCCCGAAGAGATAGAATGATCTTATATGTAATGGGCGGAGTGACATCACAAAACGAGCCAACTTTTTGAATTTTTTATAAGGTGCTCATTAAAAATAGATTATTTGAATTTAAGACTACAGTTATTAAGAAAACTATTTAAAGTTAGCTTTTCAACAAGCCAAAAAGCTTCTCAAACTTTATCCCTTATCAACTTATATTATGGCCTGAATTGGGATCCCTCGTCCCATAAGTAGATGTATCTCATATGGTAGAGTAATACAAACAAAAAAAACTGTAATTTTTTAACTTAGTGTTGCTGATGATAAGCATGCCATTGCCATCATCTTTCAGTGCCAGATCATATTATCCCCATTGTACCCACTCGCAAAGGGTCTTTAGCGCGTCTCGTAATGCCCTAAGATTTTAAACGTTTTTTATTTATTTTTTCTTAACTCTTCATTAGATTCCATATAAAATCCGCGATGTTTTGATATCTTCTGGGTATGAAATGATATAATTTTAAAAATTTTATGATTTTTTAAATAAAACTAATTTAAAAATGCGCTTGCCATTTTTCTGTAGTTCCTACTGTTTTAAAGATATTTATTAAATTGCTTAGAAATACTCAAATTTGTAATATTAAGTTATAGAAAATCTCGCAAATTAAATGAGTGGCATAGGTGTGGGTAAACTACGCATATGGACTGTTAAAAACTTTGAAAGCAACTATGTAGAATGTATATATATGACAGAGACTGTTTATCATCTAATGTAACCTAATTAGGAAGTCGTTTTTTATAAACCACAAAAAAAAAAAAAGCATGACAGGGAAAGGATCAGGAGGAGAAGCTTTTTTGTATAATGACTTTTGTATGTGAATGGTTCACTAGCCGGTTTTGTTGAATATTGTACGATGGCTTTGCAAGTCAATGTTTGTAGATGTGAACCAGGCATATTAGCCGCTTTTGTTGAGTATTTTATAAATATAATTGCCCCGCAAAAGGCTCATCCGGATTCAGATGAATAGAAACAGGTCTTTCTTTGGACCCCATCCAATAATGTAATTAATGTGAAAAGATGAAATCCTAATTTGAAAGCTAGTACTTCTTAATGCAGAAAGTGAGGTGAATATGAATTGTCATTTTACTATAAAGACAGAATGATAAAAATACTCTTTGTTAAAAAAAATATAAAGAAAACCCTAATCCATTGTCGGAGATCCGCTCTGGCATTGGCCACCAATGAAGTGGCTACTGGTGGAAATTGTTTTTTGTCTTGAAAAAAAAAAAACCCCACCCTCCTTGATGGTCTGGGCCAAAAATCATGACCATTAGGCTACTAATACCCATTAAAATGTAATCAATACTCATATAAAAGTTGTCAGTTATTGATAGTCAAAGCTAAGTAATTAACTTATAGCCTCGTTTAGTATAGCTTATAAATAGTTTTTTAATTATACTTTACGAAATACGAGGTAAGTATGTGAGAAGAATTTCATCTCGATTTACGTGAAACATGTTTATAAGTGCTTTTAATTGCTATCCCAAATATATATTATTTTGCATCATGTTAATAGTAAAACATTTCGATTGGATAAATAATTAAAAAAATTTTCATTATAAGAAAAAAGTAATGATAGATGTCTCTAAAAGTTAAATTATTATTTTTCTGATTATTTTGTACTTTTTGTTAATTTAGGCTTATAAATGAATCATAGATTGGGGAAGGACCTGGCATTAACGTTGGGAGGGTTAGAAAATTTGTTGGGGTTGGCCTTTACTCTCTTTTGGAATAGGCTAATAATTTTTTTTAGACATTTTTATCCAATTACAAAGTCAACATTTTTTTAGTTAAATGGACAAACACTAACAACTTGGCGTTTATATATAAGCGGAATCAAATCTTCGACTTCTCATTTAAAACAAAGTTTTCATGTCACTATACTATACAAGTCCACTAGCTAAGGAAGTTTACATTGATATGATTTGAAATACTCAAATTTGTAATACTCTTTCGGTCCTTAATATAAAATCCAATTGTTGAGTTAGTTTTGGTCCTAAATAGAAGACACATTCTTATATTTATCAATTTTCTCTAAATTACTTCCATGGATACTCCCTCAACCATAATTAAGCAAAAGAGGGAGAGAGGGTATTAAAAAATACGATTATAATAGTTTAGGAAAAATATGTTATATTTTTTATAATTAACTAATTTACCTAACTTTCTTAATCTAATCAAATTAATTAAATGAGTCTTACATTAAGGACTGAAGGAGTATTAAGTTATAGAAAAATATTTCGCATGTGCATGGCATGCTTTAATTTAATAGGTGTTGGCAAACTACGCGTACGGGAATATTGGAAACTTTGGGAGCATACTTAAGATGTATTTATGATAGAGACTATTGATGTCTGATTTATGTTAAGTTGGAAGTTACCTTTATGAAAAAACGAAACATGACAGTGAAAGGATGAGCAGAAGAGGAAGCAACTCTTTTTTCGTGTAACTACTTTGCAAGTCTAGCTATCCATGGAAAAACTAAGCTAAAGGACAAGGAAAGGAAAGAAAAATCAAACTCAAATCCTTTTATGTATGATAAATCTGTCGGTCAATTAATGTTTGGTTCACATGCTGCTTTCCAGCACTGAGGTCTTGGTCCTTGGAAAAATGCTGTTTCGTAAACAGTACTGTACTAATGTGAATGAGATGAAGTCGTAATAATGCGAACTTCTTGGAAATTAGAGGTTAGAAGGATATGGGAAAATTCGTGTTGACTGGCCCCTATGGTTTAGTAATTTATTTAAGTCGAGTATATAATTTTTATGCCATAAAATTCAATGATAATTAAGTTTCAGTTTTAGCATTTTCCTCTTCAGTTGGCTTGCACAGATACAAATTAAATGTACTCATTCTCCCTTGAGCTACATTTTGTAGATAATTATTACAATTTTTTAATCTGTATTAGAAAATCGAAACAACAAGACACTGAAAGTAACTAGGAGAAGAAACAATCAAACCAATAAAAAGCATTTTTATCCATTGCTTGCACATATATAGATGTAAGATTTTCCCATTAGTTTTTTCTTGTCGCCCAGATTTTCCATTCATTTATAAATAGAGCTATTTCTTTTCGCTTGTTGCAGCAAGCAAAGAGGAATTATCAGTCACAAATGAGGAGTCCATCATTGTGTTCCCTTCTTTGTCTCCAACTGTTTCTCTCTCTCTCTCTCTCTTATTCTTTTGCTTTCCCAACATGTCGTCCTGACCAAAGCTTAGCCTTGCTAGATCTCCAAAACTCATTTTCCATTCAAAAACCCCATCCTTCTTCTTTCGCTTCTATAACTTGTGATTATTATGAAAGCATGCCATACTCCAACATATCAACTTGGAAAAATGGTACCAATTGTTGCTTATGGGATGGGGTCACTTGCAATCCATTGGGTCATGTGATTGGCCTCAATCTTAATTGTAGTTGGCTTCATGGTAAACTCCTTCCCAGCAATTCTCTCTTCCAGCTTTCCCATCTTCAAACGCTTGATCTTAGTTTCAATGACTTTCAAGGGTCTCAAATACCACCTAATATTTCCCAACTTGTAAGTTTAACACACCTATCCTTGAGTTTTTGTAATTTTAGTGGTGAAGTTCCATCTCAGATTTCTCATCTTCACAAGTTGGTTTCACTTCATCTCAAGGAGGATTTGAATTATCTCGTTCTTCAGGAAAAGACTTGGGAGAGACTCACAAGAAATGCCACTCATATAAAGGATCTTTTGCTAAGTGGCATGGATACATCATTGATTCCCTTGAGTCATCTATTTAAGAATCTTTCCTCATCTTTGGTCTCTCTTGAGCTTAGTAATGCTGGATTACAAGGAAATTTTGATGAAAATATATTTTCATTTCCCCACCTTCAAGAGATAGATTTGCATGAAAACCCAGATCTCGCAGGCTATCTTCCAGAGTCTAATTGGAGCAATTCGATTAGAGTTTTGTCTCTTGGAAACACGAGTTTCACAGGAAAGTTGCCGCATTCCATTGGCGATATGAAATCATTAAATGTCTTGGATCTCTCATCATGCCAATTCTTTGGAGAAATTCCACCATCCTTATGGAACCTTACACAACTTTATCTTTTGGAGCTCTCAAGCAATAATTTTTCTGGTCAAATCTCATCATCACTTTCCAATCTTCAAGATCTCATTTTGCTTGATTTGTCTTCAAATAATTTTAGTGGCCAATTTCCATATTCAGTTTCAGATCTTAAAGATCTCACGTTCTAGATTTGTCAAACAATGACTTCCATGGAAAAATTCCTTCTTCGATGTTTACTCTACCATCTTTAAGTCATTTGATTTTATCTTCTAACCAATTCACTGGTCATATTAGTGAAATATCCGCTTATTCACTCTGGAGGCTTGATGTGTCTAACAATAAGTTGCATGGCCCAATTCCAAGGTCAATTTTCCAGCTTCAAAACCTTACACTCCTGAACTTTTCGCACAATTGTCTTGCAGAAAATGTGTTGTGGCACAACTTGTCATGGAAAAACATGCGTTCTCTTGACTTAAGTTCCAACTCCCTTCAAGGAGAGCTCCTTCCTTCTATTTGCAATGCTGGCACACTTGAGATTCTTAACTTGTCCCACAATAACTTCACCGGCACCATTCCACATTGTATTGTCAACTCTAACCCTAGTCTTTCTGTGTTGGATTTACAAAATAATAGTTTTTCTGGCATTGTACCTGAATCATTTGAAGTGGGGAACAATTTGAGAACCCTAAATCTGAATGGCAACTTTCTAGAAGGGTCATTATCTCAATCTATGGTCAATTGCACAAGGCTGAGAGTCTTGGATCTTGGCAACAACAACATAGAAGATGTATTTCCCCATTGGCTGGAAGCTCTTGAAGAATTGCAAGTACTTGTTCTTAGGGGGAATAAATTCCACGGTTTTATCCCTAGTTTTAAGGATAATAGAAGCCATGCCTTCCATATGTTAAAAGTACTTGACCTGTCTAGCAACAATTTGAAAGGTCCTTTACCTGCATTGTTCTTCAAATCTTTCAAAGCTATGAGAAGATTAGATGAAAAAACTCACTTGCAGTACTTGACTTATGCAAACTCTACCTATAATGGTGGCTTTTATGAGGACTCCATTGACATGACCTGGAAAGGATTTGAAATTCATCTACAAAAGGTATTGACTATTTTCACAAGCATTGATTTATCCAATAACATGTTTGAGGGAGAGATTCCTGAAGTTATTGGAGAGTTCCATGCATTGAAGGGGCTCAATTTCTCACATAATGGGCTCACCGGTGCAATTCCTATCTCAATAGGAAATTTGAGGAAGTTGGAATGGTTGGATTTGTCATCAAACAACTTTACTGGGAGAATTCCTACTGAGTTGACTAATCTCAATTTTCTCGGGGTATTGAACCTTTCAAAGAATCAACTTGATGGTTGCATTCCTAGGGGCCAACAATTTGAGACCTTCTCAAGTGATTCTTTTAAAGGAAACAAAGACTTGCGTGGTTTTCAACTCATGATTCCATGCAACGCTCGTGAGGAAAGACAAGAACCACTTCCAAGTTCTGAAGTTGGATTCGAATTTGGATGGAAACCTGTGGTGTTGGGATATGTATGTGGAGTAGCATTTGGAGCAATGTTGTTTCAGGTTATGATGTTCACAGGCAAACCTCAATGGGTTGCAAGTCTGGTGAATGATTCGCCTAAGAAGAGAAAGAGGAGGGTTAGAAACCGTACGTGGTAGTTATGTCAGATTTCCTCTTTCTTTCTTGCTTTTGCTTTTTTTTTTTTAACTAAAATATTTCCTTCTTGAGTTATTTTTCTTTTTGCTTAATATTTTAGCATATTTAATTTTGGGAGATCATATTAATCTTTTTTCTATTTGTTTTTCTTATCATAAGTTCAAAATCAGTAATTGTCTTTCTTGGTTAAAAAAATAATAAAATATACCTATTTCTTTATTCATTTTGGGTGAGAACACATAATAAACAAATCTTTAAAAAATTTCAAAATATATGAATTTTAGTTTCATCTACAAAAAAAAAAACAAATTAAAACAAGACCATGAGAGGGAGAGAAGAAGAAAAATCAAACTAATAAAGACGCATCAAAAAGCTTGTTAAGAAAACAAGACAATAAAAAGATCAGCAAAGGAAAAAAAAAAAAATTCAAACCAGTGAAAATACATTATCATATCTTTTATGTTAAAAAGACTTTGAAGTGGAAATGACGTTATGAGAGGGTTAGAAAATTTGATGGGATTGGCCTGTGCTTAAGCTGTGATGTGTGTGCGTGCACGAAGAAAATACGTAGTTAATTTTTTTAAGCTTCAGAACAATAGACTGTGATCCCTCAATCGAGTCTCAATTAAGAAATACTCCTCCAGTCTTTAATATGAGATCTAATTATTGAGTTAGTTTTAGTCTTAAATATAAGACCCATTTCTCATATTTATCAATTTTATCTAAATTACTCCTACGGATACTCTCTCAACCATAATCAATTAGAAAAGGGAGAGAGGATATTAAAAAAGATGATTATAGTGTTTTAGGAAAAATGTATCACATTTCTTATAATTAACTAATTTACCTAACTTTCTTAATCCAATCAAATTAGTTAAATGAATCTTATATTAAGGACTAGAGGAGTATTAATTATTAGATCGTAGTCTAATAATGTTTCGATAAATATCTTTATTATTTTAAGAAAATAAATATGATAGTGAGGCGTGGAGACCAACCTAGCGATCATCAAGATAATTCAGCATAATTTTTTCCGCAAAAGAAAACAAAAACGAAGTTCACATGACTTCCTTTCTCACAATGGAAACGAGTTTATTTTGCTTTTCCCAATAATACTGAATTTCTTATTAATCTGCAAGACGAATACTAGCATAGTTTTTTTTTTTTTTTGGGGTAGGCATAGCTATCTTTTTACTAAAAGCAATCATATTCGAAGTACTGTCAGACACTAAATATGAACACTTTTTATAATAAAAATTTAAATATTAATTTATTATATTATGATAAACTAATTCTTTCCGGAATACCTAACTCCTGATAATAGTATAGTTTTTTTTCTGTACAAGATAGCATACATTTTGTATTGTTTTTTGCCCAATATAAATGCATCTTAGATAAGACCCAAAACAAGTATCGGCCTGGCCCAATATTGTAGTTCATCCATAATATTGTAGTTCATCTATTTCAGCCCAGTAGACTACTGACAGTCAAGGAAGGATAATCTTTTTCTTTTTTTTCCATATAGAATAATCTGTGGAGTGACCAAACAAAAAGTTTTTTTCTTTAAAATTTTTGAAGTACTCATTAAAAATAGATTATTTTAATTAAAAATTAAGTTATAAAGAAAACTATTTAAAATTTTCAGCTTCCTAGTAAGTCAAAGTTTCTCAAATGTAATCTATTATCAACTTATATATAGTCTCAATCTGGATCCTTTACCCCGTATGTAGATATGTTTATATGCTATAATGATATCAAAAAAAAAAATCAAATTCTTATAGTAACAACCTTCAACATGTTTCATCACATGACATTTGCTTTGATTTCTTTAAAATATTAATTTTTTCTACATAATATTCCTAACTAATTACAAAAATTTTAACTAAATTACCAAAATCCTTCAGCTAATGAATTGAGAATAATTTTGATATTTTTCAAGAAATAACTAATTTTACTTCATTTTATGTAAAGTTATTATCAAGCGTTTATAATTTTTTTTTGGTACAAGCGTTTATAATATTAACTAAAGGGAATAATAACTTAATGGATATTCGGTTCTTCCATGGCCCAAGCCTTTGCCTGTCTCTGACGTCAGCAAAATCCAGAGGCCCAATATAAGATTACAACTTCAAAAACTGAAATAATAACAAGAAAAAAAATTCATGAGTTTATAACTGCAAGAAAGCGGCGTGAGCAGAGAGAAATGTTCCTTAATCAAGCTGGATCGATGAGTACAACGTGGGATTCTGTGATTGGTTTCCTATCGACCAGTTTCGTTCTGGGAACAAGATTGGGCTGCTAGCCTTTTTTTTTATGCGTATACGTGTCTCACCAATAATTCCTAATGTGCATACACATAATTATTTAATCAATATATCTTGTGCTCTCCGTCAATATCGTAGTTTATATTCTCCTTGACCTCTCGGAAGCAAGAAACCGCCATTAAACAGAGAGAAGAAGCCGAACGAAGAAGAAGAAGAAGTCCATCATGTGCTGCTCTGAAGACTGTAAATGCAGGCCTCTAGGGTTTCTGCTAGGGCTTCCCTTTGCCTTCTTGTCTTTGCTCCTCTCTCTCATAGGTGTTATCATCTGGATTGTTGGGTAAGTCTGTTTCGAAGAATCCTAATTAAGAATAGTTGGGATTAATATTTCAGGGAAAAAATTATTAGTAAGATGGATTTTTTTTTCTTTTTTGTGTCTTGCAGGTTGATATTAACATGTATATGCCCATGTTGTCTATGTGTGACCATTATTGTTGAGTTTGCGTTGGCTCTGATCAAGGCTCCAATACTGGTGATGGAGTGGTTCATCTCTAAGATTCCATGTTAGACATACAAGGTTCTCTTACTGGTTCGATTCGGAGTATCCAAAGGGTTTTTTTTTTTGCAGTTTAATTTTCATTGATTCATTTCTTCTGGTTTTATTTGATCACTTTTTTTTTTTGGGTAAATTTTATTTGATCACTTTTATGTTATGAATTTATAGTATATCATACTTTTCATCCTGCTTATTACATCTTACGACTTTCTCTTTCCGTAAATGTAATAGTGTAATAGTTTAATTTTTCCTTGCTCTTTTTTTCCCTAATTCCTTGTATTAATTATACGGCCTCGTTGGTTTGCCCTTTTAATTGTGCAGCTCAACTACCCCAGGAAAAAGACTTTTTACGTTAGTTAGAATAGGTTTCTAACAACGATTTTTAGAGGAATATGCGTGCCGTCACCGTAGTAATTTTGGGGTCTCAATGTCATGGTGTAAGACTTTTCACAACAGTTATTAAGCAACCGATGAGAAAAGTTATCATATATTTGCCTTAGGATTACGATTAAAATAAATTATAAATATATTTTATGTAAATTGAGATAAATTTTTTTTTCATATATTTATTTCATATTCTATAAATTACAACTGAATAATTATTTATATGCTATTCCAAATCGATCTTCAGTTGGCCATCGTCATAAGAAAGCAAACATGGAGTGTCACGGAAAATTGGAGACAAAACTTCTGACCAAGAAACCAAAACAAAAATTTTAAAGATTACGCGTGCAAGTGGCAGAACTTTAGGTGGGGGATTTCATCTGGGAGCACCAAATCTAAACCACTTAGATTAAAATTAGATAGTTCAGGTTCATATAATCTTATTTAAGCATGGCAGGCGGCATTTCCATTTAAAAATTTTCATTTAATTGTCACTTCTTTAATATATATATATATATATATATATATAAGTCCGTTAAAAATTTTATATTTAAATTCAATAATGCAAATCTCACCACAGTGGTATGATTAGGACTGAGAGAAATTCATTAGGTACGTATGAAGAACAAAACAATTTTATATTTTACTTTTTCGGTTCAATAATTTTAGGTGTCAGATGTAATGACAAGTGGAGTCATTTGCCGTTTTCCTCTAATTCATTACATTATTAAGGCGCCGCCGGCATAATTGAGGAGGCTTAACACATTAATGCTTTACTTTATTAACTTTCAATCCAATTTGAATGGTTCTTTGTTCTTTCCCTCTCAATTATGTATCTTTTGACATATTCGTCAGGTCTTAAATATAAAATTTATAAATTTTATATTTAAGATCTGAGGTGGTATATTCATAGAACAATTTTTTTTTTAAATTGCCTCCCGGTGTGAGGAGACTAAATATTCTTTTTTTTTTTGCCAACTGAGGCTAAATGTCATTTAAAGTATGAAAAGAAGATACGATGGCTGAAAAAGAGGACTAAATAGTACACTGATAAATATTAAATATATATGTTTTGAAATCTATTATCTTATTTTCTAAATTAAAATTATTTAACCATAACATTATTTGTTTGATTATAAATTTAACCAAGTTTGTAAAATTTGTTTATGGTTTATTATTACTACCTCCGGTCCTAATTATAAGACCCAATTGACTTATTTGAGGAGATTAAAGAAGTAAGTTAAGTTAGTTATTTGTAATAAATAAATATTGTCATTCCTAAAATATCCTTGCTAATTAAGTGTATTGGCCAGAACTATCATTATTAGAAGGACTATTTTGGAAAAAAATACATAAATATGAGAGACAAAATAGATTGGGATCTTATAATTAGGACCAAACAAAAAGTCAAATGGGATCTTATATTAAGGACCGGAGGTAGTATTTTATTACGAGAACATATTATCAAGAACGGTCACTGTGGTCAAGATCGGGGTCTAGACCCGGCCTAAAAGAATCGAGGCTCCACATTCTTGTTGAATGGGCTGGACTTTCAGCCCAACCCAAACTTGATCTAATTTGAGAAGGCCACCGTGGTCATTTTAGCAATCTGGGGCAAAATTTCCCCTATCTCTAAATGGGTGTGACTCAATACTCTTAGGGAATCCTTTAGCTACTAATCTATTACTTTTTTTATTCTAAATATAAGATTTATTTTGTAATACAATTTATACTATAAAATAGCTCTTATATTTAGAACTAGAGAAGTACTTCCTACCTAATTATAAGATTTTGTTTGTAGTATACAAATAAGATCTTATAATTAAAACAAAAGATAGTAACTTTGTATCTTTCTATGAGCACTATATGCTTTATGGTGGATCAATACATGACTACTCTTCATGTATCGATCTATGAGCTTTTTTCTCATTATTAAAATATTTGATTTTACTCTGTTAGTACTATTAACCCTTGTAATTTTGTCATGTTATAACATTATCAGTCCATATACAAAAGTTAATTATGCTAACATAGTAAAATTAAATGATTTAATAAGGAGAGACAAACACACAGGTATCAAATTGAAAATTGGAAAGAAAAAACTTCAGATATCTTTCCGAAAATTACAAAGTAGACTAATCCGGATTAAGTCATGGTAGAACCCATATGGGTGGTGACTCAGCTGCCACCTATGTTGCTTCATTTCCAAAAGACTGAAGTCGTGATTTTTTGTTAAATTAGAACAACTTCTACCAATTGATTTAATGATTTTATTTTTAGTATACATAATTTTGTTTGAGGTATGGTTACCCGTTGGTTACTAGATGTACGTACTTTTATGAACAAGTATTCAAATCTTATTCAATCCTTTCTTAGATCTCACCCTATTAGTTGTGTGTGTATAGACCCATTAAATTCCGAAGGAGTTGCAAATATCCGTTTTTTCCAATACAAATTTTAGGCAAGGGTTCCGCTCAACCAAGATAAAGACTAGGTGCTTGATCCAAGTCCTCTTAAGCCATGCTGTGTTATGATGCTTAAGATGCAAATTAAAGATGCAAAATACATGAATGAAAATATATAACTATATTCTTTTCTAAATTTTTTGGCCAGCATATTATTTTCTACTATATATACATAAATGAAGATACTTCTCCGATTCTATTTATATGTCAACATGCTTTATATAAACGAAAAAAAATCTTAAATTTTATTAACTCTATCTTAAAATTTAATAACTTTACAACTTTATTCTTATTTAATATATATTATATTCTATGAGAATAAAGTCGAATGACATAATAATGAATTAAAAGTAAAATTGTATATTTATATATAAAAAAAATCTCTCTCCCTCTTACAAATAAAACCAAAGCATTCCTTCTCTCTATCCCATAAAAACGGCCACAAGACTGTAATTTTTTCTAAGTTTTTTAGTTACATATCATCATTCATGGCAGAAGAATATGGTGGTTATATCTTGAAGGGGGAAAAAAAACCCAAAAACCCTGTAAAGCACGGTCTATGACCTCAATACCTGAGCATCAAAGATCTATCAAATTATTAACAAAACAAGACAAATAAAAAAAGATAAGTCCTAACAATATGAGGCAAAAAAAGGAAAAAATAAAAGCAACCTAAAAAATAGTAATAATATACAGGACGAGGGAAAAACTTAATTAAGGATGCTTAAAACAAAAAATGTCAATGAATCCTTCTTTGAAAACTAATACAATAAATGACAAAATACATATCCATATATGATTGGAGAACTTGAGATAATGAATATGAGTAACTTGATTTAAGTATTTTCTCAAAATAAAATATGTACTATCAAATAACCATAGAAAATATAATAAGCATTACAAGAAGAAATTAAACTCACAGCTCCCGCATTATTCTCTTCTTTTCACTATCATTTTCTTTTGACCAACCCAAACATGACTTCACACAAAAAGAGCTTGTTGATTAATCAACCTAATCATAGGCCTACAAAGTTGAAATCTTTTGAATATATATTTGAGTGTATTTCTGAAAAAAACCATTAAATAACTAGTAGTAGTAGTAGTAATAATAATAATAAAAAAAAATACAAACCACAAGGTTGAAATGCGGTTCTTTGATTAGAAAAATAAATAAACATGTTCTCGACGGAAGCGATGAATAGAAATCAAAAAGAGATTGACAACGTTTCGAGACGAGGGACGTTCAAATCAAATTTGTAATTAATCGATGTGTGTAGAATCCTCCCTCTAGTGTTTTTTCCCCTTTAAATTATAAAATATCGATATATTTTATCATTTCAATTAATAATTTTTTTAAACTATCACTATTAATTATATATATTAAAGGGTGTTTTGATTAAAGAATAATTTCTAATGTAATTAACTAAAAATAATATTTTAGAAAAAATCACTACTCACAGATTTGTAAATAACTAATTTAATTATTTTTTTATTTTTTGAAAATTAGTTATCTAACTCATATATTAAGAATTGTAGAAAATGAAAAAGATAGAAAAGAGGAGAATAGAAGAACAACGTATACTTTTTTAAATATTAATTACTTTTGTTTCTGATCAATTATTTGTTCCTTGTTTTCTTCTGTCTCTTATTTTCAGCCATTGGGCATTGAATTAGTATGATTAATGGTTTATGTTTCGGCATTGTAAAAGTATAATCCTTTCTGATAACTTTATATATGGTCCTTTTTTCTGTATGTTGACAAAACTTGAGTTTTGACTGCATGTTTATTGGTTTTCTAGATTTGAATCATGCGTGAACCTAACGAGAAGACGTGGTGAAAACGTACGTTAAAATTAAGGGCCTGTTTGGGTGTGATTTGGACAAAAAAAAATTGCCAAATGCTGAGGAAAAAACAACCATGATTTTGGGCTCAAAACTATAGTTTCAGAAAAAGTGAATCCATTTTACTTCTAACTCATATTGAAGAGTAAGATTGTGCCTGTCAGAATATATCTCAACGATACTATAATTTTAACACCTCTTAATTATTTTTTTAATAAACATGTTTAATCTTATATTTTATAAATATATACACATATTAATTATTTATTAATTACATTATCTTATATATTACTAATTATGTTGGTAAAAAATGTATTATTAACAATTTTATTCCTTCAAATTAAAATATATTATAAAATCTATCTTTTATGTAATTATCATATTAACTTATGTCTTTTTAATAATTTGTGCATATAAAAAGTG